TTATACAAAAATAACAAAAAAGAAAACCAAACAAATAACAACAATTAAAAAGTCCCATAAATTACCCAACAATTACAGCGGGGTTCACTCGGGTTCACCAATTTAATGTGTTGTTTCATCAACACTTGTGTCTCAATATTGTATCAGTAACTACCGCCGCGTGGGCCCACTTTAATGTTTTCCATGCTTGTCCCTTTAAACAGTAGAGCTGCAACACGTGCGTCTGTGTGGGGGAGCGTTCGTTGTACACCTTTGTAAGCGTTCACAATCGCCTTGTAGGACACTGTAGTTTTTGTTCAAAAAACTTGCCCCCTATAGTTGACTCTTGTATAATGTATGATAGCTATAATTGGCTACAACAGATGGCAATACGTCAGCGTTGTCCCGGGTCACGTGTGCCGATCCAATCTTTTCCGTCCGAAAGTGATATAGATGAGTCAATTTGCCAATTAAGTTCCTAGCATACCGATCGCGAATACACATACACTATTGCTGTCGAAACGTGGGAACAATAATAAAATAAAATAAAATAAAATAAAATAAAATAAAATAAAATAAAATAAAATAAAATAAAATAAAATAAAATAAAATAAAATAAAATAAAATAAAATAAAATAAAATAAAATACTGCTGTCGAGACGTGAGAACTGTGATATTTATGAAAGAAATGCAAGCAGTAATACAAAGTACAGAATTTGTTTTATCGTGACTCTTAACTTTTGAAATATTATTCACATATAGAGAGCTTGGTATATAAGGCATGACTCGACGCAAATTCTGTTCATGAACGAAAGAACTACTTGTAGAATCCCGGCCAGTGATAAAGAAACCCACATTGTGATTGGTCACAGTACACACACCCCGCCTACAAAATTCCTTTAGATTTCTCAGTTTCGCGTCACCCCATCGCAGCGTCTTGCGTTGCGAAAAAGTTGAAGTCTCCGTTATATCTCACAACAATAGGGCATAGAATGGTATAAAGAACCCTTGGGGGCCACACGCACATAATACGGCAATAACGACTTGTGAAATCAAAACACACAAATAGTCGTTATGCCAGCTGCGGTCCCAACAAACAAATAACGAGTTGTAGTTGCGTGAAGATTGGTTCAAGCCCCTCTTGCATAAAGTGTTGGGCATATATGCTTCCGTCAAGACCCTCTGGCGGTGACCAATACAGCTATATACAGTATAATGACATATTTAGTGCCAACAAAAACTGCAAAAACCGCGAACAATCACAATTTTCCCAGTGGAGTAGGAGGTGTTACTACTAGTATTTAAACTGAAAGCGCCACACGCTGCCTTCTTGTGTCGCTTTCTATACGTGTCCCATGCGACGTACACAGCGCGTGTAAAAAATGGAAAGCGCGCTGAGTATGAAGCATGAAGAAGATGCATGTCACGTGTTTTCTCAGCTGTCGCATTCTTATCAGTATCCCCATATTTCTTCCTCTTAAGAATACTGTTGATTTTATCTCTACGATTGAGATAATCAAATAATAAAACTGCAATTAAACTGAATCATAGGGGGTATACAGAGAGATATTGAGGTTTCTTCTCTTCCGGGGGGTAAGTGGGTTGTCACACGTGCTATTTTCGCGCCATGTGTAAATGACTTGTACTCGGACCGTATACACTGTTCCGGGGGTCCGTCTGAATTAGTGCCCCTCTCGCATCACAATACACACGGCCACATGCAAAGATCCAACACAAAACGTCACTTCTTTGGAGTTTGTCGAGTAACAGTGTCCTTGCAGAGTTAACTCGACATTGATCTCTTGGGGCAACTTATAGAAAATCTGAACCTATTTTGTCGCTAATTGTCCGTGTTCGAACTAATCTCCAAAACAAATGAAAATTCAATGTGCTCTACTCTTTCAAGGGTGGTGCTATTATAGAGAGAACGCAGTTTTCTAGCAGTCGTGTGCCGAAAAGTTTAGTGTTCGCTTATTTATTTATTTGTTGTCTTGGTTAAACAGTGTTACATTCTTACTGCATCCTGTCAAAATAATGGCCCTCGTCACAAACACAAACACTAACTGTTACAAGTTCAACATTCAAAACAATCGCCCGACTTTCAATCGTCCAATCGTCCTGACTTCGCTGGCAAGGTGTTGAGAGTTCAGAGTATTGTTCTCCGCGGGCATTTAATTTGAAACACGTGTGTTTTAGCTAACTTTGAATATGTCGGTCGTCTCCGATGCCATCGCGTTACCATTGAGCTGCGGTCGGTCGTATTATGGATCGTCGATCGGTTTTAGTTATTTTAGGTGTGAAAAAATGGAAATTGAAAGGTACGTATTTTATAGGTTGAAAAGAAATGCACACACAACAGAAAGATCAGCTTTAATATCATTCAATGTTTTATCGAAACAGGCGCCATGCCGCTGATCGCCTCTAGGTGCATGCCGAAAGCCGTGGAAAATGATGTATTGCAAGCCAGTAGTGTCAAACTCACTGTGTTGTCGACCCGCATCCAAGCATACTTTGTTCGCGGAACCAGCAAGGGAGAAGGGAGAAATTTAATGAATGGGGTATTTTTGTTTAAATCCCTTTTTAATCCTTATCAACAAGACAATCTTATACTTTTTCATTATTTTATTTCATTTGAATGATCATAAAGAATATATAAATAGTTTCTAAGCGTCTTGACAATTTCTTTTATTGACAAGTGTTTTAACAATTTGTTCCATACTTATTGACACTGCCGCATGCCGATGATGGCTTTCTAAGTGAACTACTAACTGTAAAGACAACCATATCGACGAGAAACATATTAAAAAAGCTCAAACTGGTTTCTTGTCCCGTGCTAGAGCCTAAAGGCGCCGAGAAACGACCTCCAGCGTGATGTCCAAAGGGACGCACTTTACAATACCGCGGGCAGCCTATGACACGGGGAGCCTTGAAACCGTCAAAACCTGACAACAGCGCAATGGCTCAGTTTTCCAAATCGGTGACTAATTAAGGACCCCCTGCGAACCCTACAAACTTAGCCAGATTTCTACAATATGCGAAAGTACAATCTTGTATAGTAGTGGTGTGGATTTGAATTGAAATACTGGCTGATCGAAGCTCTCGATTTGAACTCGATTTTCAAAATATGACTGGGATAGCCACCAGAGTGTTGTAACGGCGTCAGGTTAGTATGTCAGCTACTATTTCGTCGTAATTTTCCGGTTTAGTTTTACGCAGTCCCGGTTTACTGCGTCGTCTGTAGTGTACACACTTCGGGCATTATCACGGGTTGATCGCTGGGTCCGACGACGGGAAGTGGCTGGCCCGGTTCGAGGAAGGCAGTTCGCAGTAGACCACACCGCCCTAAACTGGGCATCCAGTGCGCAGCTTACGAACCGGTCTGTTGCCAAGTCTTGGAATCTAATCGATCGCCTTCTTTCAGGTGTACACACCAAACCAAGATGGCTACCGGCCTATTGGTATATGCTACAGGCAACGGTCGACTGTCAGCGGCCGCACGGGCACGGTAGCGCCCTGTTTTATCTGCAGTACGTTAAACGGACTGAGTCTGGCAATGATGCAAATGTCAACAAGTTTTGTAACAATTTCAAGGGCGATCAACGTCGTCGATATCCACACAGAAGACTGACGAGTTGTTTATTTTCTTACATTCGACTTGCTTGTAATATTGTCTTTTGTACAATCAGCGGTAACCGTTTCCGCCTTCCTCCAGTTCGTGAGAGCCTTTCCAAAATACCCATAGCTGTAACAAGTGCTACACGATCACTTTACACACTCTCATTATTTTTCGCACCACACCGATGACGTGCAAGAATTCTGTTAGTGATAAGGATTTGTGTAGCAACCCGGTTTGATTTCACTGGCATTGACGTAACTTGTTGCTTTTCAGTAGATCGGATGACTTGGCGGTAAAACCAAACAGCGTCTTTGGTTTCTTCACCGAAATAGTTGCCTGCAGTGCAGTGCGAGTGTGTTGAAACGATAAATATACGAACGTTGGTATACACGTTGCGTACGGGTGATTATGTTCTGAGCATAGTCAAAAGAACACGTTTTGAGTGCATTAAATCCTCCTTTGGGATTATGCGGTCCCTTTTGATTTAATTCAAGTTCAAACAAGGTATAATAGGCAATTAAATCCCAGCTTTGGAATAACTGTTTACTGTTTTTTCTTTTTTTTTTCTAATGACTTGCAGATGTGTGAACTGATTGAACAATATGAGCAATCAACAGCAAAACAATCAACACCACGTTAATCCGGCTGGACACCAACAACAGCAGTTATTGGGACAGCAGAATGGACGATCTATTCCGCCGATCCGAGTGCAAAGCGAGACCCCGGCACCGCCGTCCAACACCACCACACCGCTGCCAGGTTTGAATAGCGTTCGTAATAGTAATGATGGCTCAAACACCGTACAGTTGCCAAAATTACCAACCATATCGATGCTTGTTAACAGTAATAAGTCTGAACAGAAATCCTATTCCACGTCGTCATTGCAGCAAGAGGTAAAAAGAGAGATTCAAGACCATACGTTAGGATATGGTAATATACTTGATGGGAGAAAAGGCAAGCATTTTAATTTTTTTTACAAACATAGAATGAATATCTAAAATTTCCTGAACATAAAATTTAATTGCATTTATTAAAGTTGTTAAACTAGCTTACAGTTCTTGTTTATCGCAAAGATAAAAATGTGGAAATTAAGAAAATTTGAATGATTGAGTCACCAACACTGCACTATTTTATATTTTATTTTTGACCATTTTACACATTTTGTTATCCCCCCCCCAAAAAAAAAAACTAAAAATTAAGTTTCACACAAATGAATTATGTATGAATTTTACTGTCTACAAAAATTGATATGACATATCATATCAGTTTCAGCATAAAAGAAACAATATAAAATTATAACTGATTTACAATATGAAGCATTCCACTTGTAGAATTTAGAAGGATATAATGAATCTGCATAAAACTAAAGAGCTTAATCCAGTAATCTAGTTCTTGACCAGCTGTTGTTTTATAAAATCCACTAACTTTACTTTTTTTCTATAATCCAATGCGTGTATGATCTGGAACATGGAAATTATCCACAGATCTTCTTCAGACAAGATTATCTTTAATTCAGTGCTGTCGCAATGCAGACATTTACCACTACTAATCAACATTTTCCAAAAAAAAAAAAAAACTATGAGAACACCTATCTTTTGGTTATATATAAAAAAAATTATTTTTAAGAAATGCATTTCATTGAAAAATAGATATCTTTTGAAAACAAGGTCATTACTTGATAATGTTATTTTAATATTGGTTACAAAGCCTAACAATACTATCAATGCAGAATCAATTGATTCATACTAAAAAGCATATTTGTGCTGATCATAATTGATTCTATGTTATGTTTGCTATTTCAATAAAGCCAAGGCAACTGACTGTGTCCGGCATTTCTTTTAAGGATGCATTGAAATATTTAGAATTGGATCAGATCGGCATTTCAGTCTTTTATTATTAGAACAGCTAAAACAAAATGCATACTTCAAGGGAAAACAAAGGACGCTGTGTTGATCCGATGTATTGTTGCTGAATTAGTGTAATATCGTGTAGTTTAGTTGTTTCACTATAGTCATTATTTCATGCCCTGTTAGTATTCAGCGAAAAGATCGACAAAATTCACTAAAAGTTCAATTTTTCGTATCATGGCTTTGAACTTCAATATTCTGAGGACAAGTTCAACACAAAATTGAGTTATAAATTTTCTTCTGAAGAAAAAGAGGATCTTCGTAAATGATCTTCAGTATATGCATTATTTCCTGCAGTTCATTATAGTTGACATCTCCAATATATTCTACTCTAAACTGCTACTCGTCAGTCTCTGGGATTGTACCATGGAATCATTGGACATGTTTGTTTTCATGGTTTACGAATTGAATAAATTTTAAGCGAATAAAAAGTTGTCACTGTGTAAATAAACAATGTATTTTTACTTGCATTGTATAAGTCATATGGAACCATAGCGAACATACAGCAACATGATGACTATACTTTTTTCTTAGAGGCATTATCTCCTTTTTGCACAGTTTTTTGTGTATTTCAAATATATTTCAAAACGCCATCAATTTTTCAATACTAATTTTGGTGCAGTATTTTTGATGTACTTTTATAATTTTTGTGTCAATTTTAGACCAAATGGATAAAATTATGTGGGTTATTTTTATATTTTGTGAGGAAAGTTGATTTTTAATAACAAAAGACATGATAGTAGCTTGAGAATGAAATAGGATTATTTAATTAAACGCTCTTATTATTCCAAATTTTTTTTTGATGAAAATTGGTAATATGTTTCAAGTCACCTGCCCGGTCAACCAATGGTTTCTGCAAAAAATGGATTATGTGAAACATACAATAAAGATAGCATCCTGAAAATTATGTCCAGAACATTTAAATTTGATTTAAATGAAAATACAAGAAACACTTATATTTAACAAGAGATTTTTTTTCTAATCTTAATTTTAAACTGAACATGACTGAATATGAGAAATGAATTTGTGGTTTATTAGATTTTGGGAAAATATTTCATCATTGTTTGACTTGTGAAATTCAAGCAAGCATTTTACAGTAAACTAAATTCTCAAAACAGTAGAGTTGCTTAGTTTCTTAAATTATTTTTTAGCTCCGCTGTCGACTTTGTCGAGCGGAGCTTATCATATGAGTGATTGTCCGTCGTCGTCGTCCGTTGTCCGTCGTCTGTCGTCCGTCGTCCGTGTCAATGTTTTACTTTTTTGACTTCTTCTTGAAAACTACAAGCCTGAATGCTTTGATACTTGGTGTATATGTACCTTGGGTAGACCTCTCTCAGATTTGTTCATTTCATGATGATATCTTCAATTCTCTAATTTTGGTGAATATTTTTGTCATTTTTAGTAAAAAGTGATATTTTTGACTTCTTGTTGAAAACCGCAAGTGCAATTGCTTTGATATTACATATATAGGTACTACATGTGGACCTCTCTCAGATTTGTTCATTTTGTAATGATATCTTTAATTCTCTAATTTTGGTGAATATTTTTGTCATTTTTGGTAAAAAGTGATATTTTCGACTTCTTGTTGAAAACCGCAAGTCCAATTGCTTTGATATTTACATATATAGGTACTACATGTCGACCTCTCTCAGATTTGTTCATTTTGTAATGATATCTTCAATTCTCTAATTTTGGTGAATATTTTTGTAATTTTTGGTAAAAAGTGATATTTTCGACCTCTTGTTGAAAACCGCAAGTCCAATTGCTTTGATATTACATATATAGGTACTACATGTGGACCTCTCTCAGATTTGTTCATT